ACCCTTTGACTGCCTCGCTCTACAGGATGGGCCTGGTGGGTGAGGAGGGCAGCATCACGAGAGAGAGATCGGCCCCAAGGTCACCCATGTGTATGACGTCACCAACAGGGCCCCTCAGACCTGCCCTCTGCCCTCATCTTCCTCCTGTGGCCCACTAGGACTCTCACTGATGACCCCTACTCTATCTCCTCGATGCTCTGACGTGGCCCAGCCAGCCGTGTGTCATTCTGTACCTGACTGGGCCTGAGAGAGAGAGAGGTAGTGTGTGTGTGTGTGTGAGGAGAGAGAGAGAGAGAGAAAAGAAAGAAAAGAAAAGAGAGAGAGAGAGAGAGAGAGAGAGTCCCGCGTAAAGTGAGAAACGCCAGAAAGTGAATAACATAACATATGGGATTAATTGAAATGGAATCCGGGCCGATCCCAAACTCCACTTTTTGACGACACACAGCTATGTTGTAGTAAAATATTATCTTAACTTTATGATGGTATGCACACACATAATAATTAAGAGAAATATCATAATATAGGTTTTTAACACTTACATTAGTAGAAGAAATGGCTGGGCACACAGGGATGGGCGGTTGGTTCCGAGGCAGAGGGCAGATTATTGGCCCTCACCTGTATCACACTTTTATCAATTGTATCACTATCCACCACAGAGGCTTGGGGCCTCTTTGTCAAACTCCCCAAAGTCCATATAAGTCCATATCCTCACCATAATTATCACTATCACTGACTTGGGCCGGCTGTGGTGGGTGGCGGGTGAAGAACTGGTAATGTTTTGATGACTGGGCGACTTTGTGCGCACCATGTTCGCTACTACACAACATGGCGGATGGCGGAGGTTTGGATCCAAAATGGCTGAGTTCGCCAGCCGCCTCACAAGTACACTTAATCCATGAATGTGAGCATCCTGGGTTCGGCATGGCACAGAACGTGGAAACGCTGAATGTGGGACCGCAGAAGTGAGGGTTGACTGTATATATATATATATATATATATATATATATATATATATATATATATATATATATATATATATATATAATATATATATATATATATATATATATATATATATATATATATATATATATATATATATATATATATATATATATATATATATATATATATATATATATATATATATATATATATATATATATATTATATATATATATATATATATATATATATATATATAATATATATATATATATATATATATATATATATATATATATATATATATATATATATATATATATTATATATATATATATATATATATATATATATATATATATATATATATATATATATATATATATACATATATATATATATATATATATATATATATATATATATATATATATATATATATATATATATATATATATATATCCATCCATACATACACATACATACATACATACATATATTTATATACATACATACAGTAAAAACCTTGATTAACTGCACAGATCACTGACCCATATCGGGACCTGGGGGGCGATAATGTAATAATATTAATAATGATCATGATAATAATAATAATAATAATAGTAATAAAGAACCATAAAGAAATGCAAAAATGAAAAAAAAATCAAGAGTGAGAAACAATGTACCTGTATGTATGTTGTGTTGTCAATAGTAAGAGAAACAATTGAGACCCTGCAATTGTGTGTAAATGAGGTAGAAATTCAGATGAGCAACCTGGAACTTGGTCACAATTTTTGTGATGACATATGTTCTATGTCTTTTCCATTTTTTATTCACGGTTTCTGTGCTGGTTCATATTTATTTACTAAAGTGGTTAATTTTTTAAAGCAAATTCTATTGAAATATGAATGGCAAATGACCAAAAATGAATAGAGGGAATTAAATGAGGTAGGTTAGGGAAAGGTACTTTGAAAAAGTATGTTTTATTTCCGTAGACTTTATGTGCTATTAACCGACCTTTCGGATTATCCGTCGGCCCCTTCCCCCCATATGTGGTCGGTTAATCGAGGTTTTACTGTACTTTTTGCTCTGCCAACTGTTGTTCCTCGTCCTCTTCGCTCTTGCTATCGGTGTCACCCAGGTTACGCAACTCATCCTTGGTGTTGGTATAGTCGTTCAGGAGCTTAAACTTCTTTGCAGAGAATGCAGCTTTCACATTGCAAATTAATTCTTGGTCCATGGGCTGGATTAATGACGTAGTGTTGGGAGGAAGGAAGACCACTTTTACGTTGGGGTGACGATCCAACAGTAGGGGCGAGTGTCCTGGTGCGTTGTCAAGCAGCAACAAAATCTTGAATGGAACATTCTGTTGCTCACAGAATTTCTTCACGTCGGGAATGAAACAGTCATTAAACCAGGAGAGGGACAGAGTAGAGAACATCCACGCCTTACGTGCGGTCAGCCAGTGGACATTTAGCTTGGTCATGTCCATGCTCTTGTAGGCGTGCGGCTTGCGTGCTGTGTGGATCACCGATAACTTGAGCTTACAGGTACCGGAGGCATTGGTGGAAAACAGGACGGTGATGCGCTCCTTCTGCAATTCCGGCCCCGACACTTGCTGGCAGTCTTGACAACGAAGGTCTTGGAAGGTAGCTTTTTCCAAAACCTACTCGCACCGCTTACCCAACATGGCGGGATGGATGGGAGAGACGGAGGGAGGTTTGAATCCAATAATGGCGCGGCGCGAGATGACCGACAGCCGCTCTCCGCGTAAAAGAGTACACCCACTGCGTAAAGTGAGCATCCCGGGTCTGGCAGGGTACCGCGTAAAAGTGGAAACACGTAAAAAAAAACTGCATAAAGCGGGGTAATACTGTACTGTATATAATTTGCAATATGACTTGAAAATAAAAGGATAAACTGTATCAGAAGGTTATTTACTCAAGATGCATTCGTGTGAGAGCTTTCAGTCGACCAGATTACAAGAGGGGTCACTATAACACACTGTATAGTATTAGATATGAAGATACCTTCTTAAAAATGTTATTTACCACCTTTGAGTGTTATGTGATGAGTCAGTTTGGCTATTTGTACTTAGACAAATGATTAATGAATAAACCAGGGTATATGCAGATGCATAATACAGGACTGTACACTACAATATTACTTATTAAGTGATGATAAATACACTACGATAGTATTTATTAAGTGATGATAAATACACTGCAATAGTATTTATTAAGTGATGATAAGTACACAACTGTACTGTACTAATTTACCAAGTGTTGAAGACAAACATTGTGGTAAGCCAATCAGCTGTTTGCTTTTAGTAAACAATGAGTCCTGGTGTTCAATGTGGATTTTTTTTTTCAGGAAAGTTAATTCTTTTAGGATATTTTATCAACCTGGCACCAAATGATCCTAAATTACTGGTATATGAGAATTATAGTGGAATTACATAAAGAAGTGTTAAAGGAATCTTGTGGGAGAGAAGGGGAGGGAGCCACCCTCCCCTCTGCTCCCAGATAAACATTTGTCTTCCACACACAATATTCTCCTACTCTTATTTGTTCTTATTTTTATCTTTTTATTACTGTACAGTATATAGTTTTCTCTTTATTCATAAGACAAATTCTTTGATTACTTACATTAACACTTTACAGTAAATAACAATCATCTCGGTGACAACCAGACTTACATGTCTAATTTTCAACCCAGAGATTGGTTTCATATTTTCTTTTATTGATGTAATATTCTTTTAACCTTGAAGTGCAGTAATAACCTAACTGATTTTCTTTAAACAGTTCATATAAGCAGTGTTATCTCCACACACCCCCCCCCCCTCCCCCATATTTGCTTTTCTCGGACTTTCGCATTTTTCGAACTGGGGTATGCCCCAATTAGTCCAATTTGTCGAGGTTCTACTATATATCTACTTGAAATTACGAGTTGAAAAATAACAATAACACATCTTGCACGGTAGGAAGAGAGGCGACATCTAACTTGATGTCCTGTGCCAATTCCACACACATTCATGTAAGGTGAGGGAACTACTACACCACATGAGGTCCCCCCTAACACCATCTGGGAGGGAGTTACTACACTACATGTTCGCTGTTCAATACCTACATTAATCTGTAGGCTCACTGTATGTTCCTTTACCTTTCTCTACTGAAGGCTTTTGTTAAACCACCAATGTATGTAATAAATCATTTATGTCCAATGTATATTTTCAGCCTTCGGGCTGCAGAACTTTTTTAATAAACCGTTAATTATTATTATTATTATTATTAATTAACATAAATATCTTTGTTTTGAATAAATTTATTGATTTTATGGGCTCTTCAGGGGTTCAGGAAAGGAACCTATTTTCCCCCTCAAGTTACTAACATCAATATACGATCAATCACTTAGCAATGGCTTTTTAAAGTCCCTAGCCCCATCATATAATGGCCATTGCCTGTACAGCTAGACCCCGACTTACGACTGCTACGACTTACGACCGTCAGGACTTACGACCGCCGCAGATTTTTTATTATTTTTTTTTTTTTCAAATGACACGCATTTTCTATACCGAAACGTTTCCAGTTAATGTAGTCTCCATGTATAATTAGAAAATTATGGGGGCCCCATGTGCATTCAGCTGACTACATTAAAGGTAAGTGCTCAGTCACACTGTAAACATTCCTTATTATTTATTACTTTCACTGTACTGTATCCATTCCTCATTATTCATTACTTTTACTGTACTGTATTTCATTGTAGATTATTTATTTAAAAAAAAAATAATAATAATAATTTTTTTATCTATGTCGGACTTACGACCTGGATTTGGGTCCCTAACCCCGTCGTAAGTCGGGGTCTAGCTGTATTATGTTTATTATTGATTTATAATCATTGTGTATACCAAAATTTTTCATTAAAAACAGGTTTTGCTGCATTTTAAGGGGTGTGGTTTTTCGTAGGAACTTATCTCAGCTTTTATGGAAAATGTAATTTGACTTAAAAAATAATAATTTGCAAAAGGTTTTTAAGGAATGTAAGCATTTCATAAATCAGGATCTGCCTGTACTATACCTGTAGACATAATACAGTAATTTTGACTTTCTAAGTGAAATTCATTACTGGAATAACAAACAAATAAGTACTACAGTACTAATTAATTGTGACAAATTTTCTTTGTGTTTAACATAACAAAACACTGTATGAAGAAATAAGAAAATATCCTTGAAGGTTCTCTTGAAGCTACTGGTCCCATGATGAATGATAAACACACTACAGCACAAAACAAAACATCACTGATGAATAATATCCATCATGTGTTTAATGTTAGAAACTTTCTCACGGGGTTTTCCAAGCTTTGCCCCAGTTTCTACTTCATACTGATTCAAGCGATTCCACTGATCAAATGACACAGGTTGTACCCCTGAAAGAGAGACAGTACAGTACTGTATTAATTGAAAGACAATTACTGTAGGAAAAGAAGCAAACTAATTAGCTATAAAATCTTGTACTCTACATATAAAAATATATTTACTATCAGACAAATTAGAAGCAAGTCTTACAGCTGTATATTATACAGTATATGGGACTTCCAAGTCCCTTCTCAGCTGGCAAGACAGAGTCAACTCCGAGGTAATCTTGGTTACCTGGATAAATCATTCAATTTGATACAAGCTTTTCAGACAATATAAATACAGTAATGTTAATCTGACTAAATGAACAGAAACCATCAACTTAGATGACTATAAGAAGAATTAAATTGAAATAATTTTTTTTAATCTTACCTTTTTCTGCTAAAGCACTTTTAATTAAAGTCTGTCCACTTCGAGGCCGTGAGATATCCACAGAGCCAGTCTCCATGTCTGCCACAACAACTTTACCAGTTGTGAAGCCACTTGTCATAGTAGACAAAATAACACCAACAGGACCAGTGCCTATCCATCCACTAACATACACACCTGTAGATATAAGGTTAGCATTAGCTCAGGTCCTCTCCAACACATCATCATCAACGTTTTATGGCCACTTTCCACACTTGCATGGGTTAGTTTTGATTACCTGGTGGCAGCTGTTGGGTAAAACTAAAATGGGATGTCCCCCACTCAGGTATACTATCTTAGAAAATGCAGCAGAGACCAGGGGATGGGCATGGCTCTGGTGACTTGATTGCTATTAGGCATGCTGAAGCAGTTTTATGGCTGGATACTCTTCCTAACGCTAACCCAAAGAGCAGCAAGACAGGGTCACAACTCCCTGAAGTAATCAAAGCCTACCCACATAGATGATGTCTTTGTTTTTGTCAAATTAATGTCAATCAACCCTGTGTACAAGTTGCATTCAGCATTGCCCTTAAATCATTTCCTTTACAATGACAGACAAAGCACATCCTCAACAAGTTCCATAACAGGCAATGAGAAGAAAAACTGGAAGGTGTTCTGTCTTAAACAATGAGTAGAGATCATATGACAAATTGAGATTGGTACATCTAGAAAACGATTTAATGCGAGTTTAATATTAGAAAGTTAACTGCGAGTGATATTTATGACAAACAGAAAGTGGTAAGGGCATGTGAAATTATCATCCACTTCCTCTGCTTCATCCAAACAGTAATGTACTGTAATCCAACTCCTGTACTGTATCTTTTTAAGTTAATATTTTTTGCCATATTATTTGGGTAAAGTCTATTTTTTTTATACAGCAGTACTATACCTGAGGAACATTCTCATATCTAATGTTTAGACACTTAGTTTTTACTGTACAAACTTTACAATTAACATAAAACTTTACCATTCTGACCAGTTACTCTTCCCCCGTTGTTGGATATTGTCCCTGTTCGTTGGTCAAAGGGCAGTGAAGAGTCAATCTCGACACCCTTGTAGCCTATGCTTCGAAGAATTAAGCCACATTGGAGACTTTCTGTTTCATCAGTCTGCACAGCTCTCTGGTTCAATCCTTCACCCTCAAGCCTTCAAAGATGTAAATAACATAAGGCATAAATCCATAGTTATGGTAATAGGGATAACAGTTCCAGTGAGCTGAAAAGTTAGAAAAAGGAAAATTAAGAGAGCAATGCGAGATTACCATGAATGTAGTGTTAGGAGGGTAATTTGTGAAGGATACTCTTCAGTATTGTAGGAAATACTGTAGGGTTCTGTTCCGAAAAAGCCTTAAATAATTATTTTTTCTTCATATAGTGAAGAACAGTAGAATGTCGATATAAAGGGAGATACATTCCAAGAGAGGTCGCTTTAAACTGAATTCCCATTAAATTGAGGTATTGTTTCAATGGACAGTTGGGGCCAAAGGTCTATTGAAATATTTATTTGTTTATTTATGTCCTTTAGATTGAGTTTTTTTTTTTTTTTTTATAAAATGTCACAGAAGTGACCTGAGAGAATATAATTTACATTGCAGGAATTCTTATAAGATAGTGATTAATTTGAATATAATCATGCTATAGTTTGCACTTGAAAATTTTTTAGTAATCATTTAGTACATTATTTTGAGTACATGTACAGTACAGCTTTGCCCTTAGGACAGTGTAGCGTGCCCAGAAAAACATTAAGCGCGAATTTTAAAATATGATGCGCCAGATTGACTCACGCAAAATAGGAAAGATTCGCTTTAAATTAAAACGTTGTCCTTAATTGTGGGTGTAGCTTTAAATCAAATCTTAAATTGAATCGCTTTAAATCGACGTTCTACTGTACATTTTCCCCATGGAATCCCACGAGAATAAATAAGGAGAAATTAGAGAATAATGCAACTGGCCAAGTGACTGTGTGGTGGTGGTTTGAGTGAGGAGTCATTTTTCTTCACATTAGTGAGAGGTAATTTATATGGTAACTGTTGCAGAATAACACATTGAAAGCTTATTTACCTAGGGGAAAAACTAGAAAAGTAAATGATTTGTTTTCTCTTCAATTTGGGTGTTTTATTAAAAAAATATAATTTTCCTAAAGTGAAGCTTTCTAAATTGGGGACTATCTGTACTCCGTAGAAACATATTCAGTGGTCATGAAAGGATACAAAAGAGTTTAATTTTCATATTTACATCATTAATAATGTTATTTTACTCCTAAATCATTGAGATTTCCATGTCATTGTTAAATATATATCTATTCTATTAACAGTTAGCTGCATTTTGTGTGTCTAATTGTTTCATAAGTTTGTTAATTTCATATAAGGTGTTAAAATATAACCAAATAAAAATGAAATTTCGGAAAAAATTACAAATACCATATTGTACTGTACTGTAGTATCCAAGTACTGTACAGTTGCAGAAATGTGTTCCTACACCCCCTGTGGTAACCCGTGTCTGCAAACAACAACGTCGCAGTAGTAGTATTACTATTTATGAATGAATGAGTACTGTATTGGTTGTGTAACAATGGAGATGATTGGTGGATAGGTTTGCTCTGTCATAAAGGTTGGCTGTTTGGAAACGCTGGTTACCACAGGGGGGTGTAGGAACACATTTCTGCAACTGCACCTATTTTTTGCTAGGATGACTCCACCCACAGTTTGGCCATCAGGTGTTGCAAGTATCTCTACAGGACTCCGCAGGAAGCGAAGACTCCACTGTTTCTCTGCAGCCGCCCAGGAGGAAGCAAGCTTGGGATCTGGGGCGTCTAACCCAGTTTTAGCCAGAAGCTCAAGTAATCTTTTACGAGGCCGAGGCAAATCTTGATAAAGGGAAAAGAAGATTTTTTTCTCACTATGTGACCCAAAATAATGTTCCATATATAAAACATTTTCTACTAAATATGTTCAGTTACAGGTATCCCTTGATTTACAGTAGGGTTGCATTCCTGGAAACCCTAACATGAATCGAATAAACATAAAACAAGTCTTTTAACGTGGGTTTCAATGGGATACCTTCCTGGCCTGTCCAACACAGACATGTATCACAGAAAAAGCTATCCTACACTAATTAAATAAATAAAAAAAGAATTAAACAACACTAACCACATTAACACACTTTAGGGATTTTATAAGCAAATTTGCTTTTGAACTAAAAAATTACAATAAAATCATTTTGTTTGCATATAAATGCGAGATACATAAAACACACAATTGGAAATGTCAGTGTGATCTGGCACCAATATAGATTGCCTCCAATGTTAGGTGAGTGACCACAGCAGTCGCCCTTTTGTGGTTCAACGGTGCAGGACGTAACCTTGACCTACATTTCCCACATTTTCTTGTGGCTTGTGCTGATTTCTTGTCCATCACAGTGATTTCATTTATTGATAACAGTGCTGTGGGCATATTGAACCATGCCACATGTTGCTGGTGAAGGTGGAGGAGTGGGAAAACATAAAAAGTGTAAGGAGACTGCACCACATGGTGATAGTGTGGAGCCTCCTGATGCCTCTCCCAGTGTCCCTGGCCCTTCCAGAGTAAGTGACAGTTTGTCTGGTCCTTCAACAAGCTGTCCTTATGTGAAAGGAACTGCATGGCATGTTGTTGTGCCTAAAAGGAAAAATTAAAAAAGTGTTGCTCATGTGGCATCGCAGTCATCTCAGCATGACTGTTCATCTCCCTGCGCATTGCCATAATCCCACTAAAACTAGATTAAGTCACCTTGTTCGGGCGACGTACAGAACTGTGGGGCACAGAGGAGGAGGGAAAATGGCTGGAGGGGGAGGAATATCACCAAGTAATCCAACATTTAACAACATTAAGTACAGAAATTCATTTATTTTCGTAAATTTTGATTTAATATTTTTATGCATTGCATTTAACCAATAATTTACAATAATTAATTCATATGAATTTCGAAAATAATAAGTATTATGTATATTTTACGTAAAAAATATAGAACTTTGATCGAGGAATATTCGCATTTGGGAACTTGAATGGCAGCCATGCGCTACAATTTGTGTTATACTTGAGCTTACATATACTGTACTGCAGATGTAATAAAATCATTGTGATTACCTATATAAAAATTATATGTAAATGTATTTACAATGCTAATGCAGAATACCCGACCTTTTTATCTCCAATAGTAAGCTTGCTGTGACTCAATGTGTACAATTACCTTTTGCGCTCGGAGGAAAAAAAATTAATAATCTGTACTCGGCCTGGACACGCTCAACAGAATGCGCAATTTACACCACTATAACAGAGCAAAATGTTAATTTTTTCACAACTTTTCTTTTATAACTATTTTTCGCTAAACATTACGCTTCATAATAGAATAAGGTTCATAGTGTAATCACATGATCTCACAAAACAGCTTGTAGATAATTTATTTACAAGGCTAAAGCAACAAACCCTGTTCTTTATCTCAAGTAGCAAGCTTGCTATGACTCAATACGTACAATTATCTCTTTATGTGGTGCAGTCAAGTGCAGTGAGGGGAGTAACCAGCCAGACTCCCAGCGTCTCGCCAGAGAGCACTTCCCTAAACCCAAGAGTGTTAACAAGCCTGCTGCCTTGGCTTTCCCGGAGGCAGGAGACTCCACAGGATGCTTGCTAGCCATTTTCAAAATTATTAATCACTTCACAGTGACCAAAATAGCAAAATCTGAATGATAATATTTTCCTTTCACCAATAACAGCAAATATCACAGCAATCACGAGGTTATGTAATACTAAATAACAATAACATTGGTTATATGAGCAAGGACGGGTGTGATCGTGTTGGAACAAAGGGCGGAAATGAGATAAGCAGGGTGACCGTCAGGAGGCACGCGGGCAGGTCAACTGTGTGGAGGATGGAAAAGCAGTTTCTGTGTATGGTGGCCATCTTGGATTTGACAAGTGAAGGGAGAAATGTGCTTCCCAGAGTTAAAAACTCCGCATCAGCGAGTTTAGTATCACGATAGCTATCATTAACGTGGAATTTGCCTGACAAATCGTGAGAGGGTGTTAAAACCTAACATTAATGCAGATTACCGTAAATCGGGGAACACCTGTACACACACACACACACACACTGGGTAGTTATTTTTAATGCAGGACTCAAAAACTGCTGGAATAAGTCTTGTCTACCCATAGATGGTGCTCATTTGGCTCCATATCTGGCTGCTTTATACCCATAATGCTGTAACTGAAGTGTGGTCAGCCTACTGGGTTGGGATAGTATGTTAATTCATGGCAGAATTCTCTGCACTCCCTACTCCACTATCTGTTTGTGGGTCAGTTTTGTTTATCATAAAAAAAAAGAGAGACCAAAACCAACTTTCTATGAACTTATTCAAGTACTGTACTGTATTATAACATTGGGTTGAATAATTTTTTTCTCAAATTAAAAACTGTATAGGTAGAATACCATTTTAATTTACTTCACTAATTTATTGTACAGTATTTCTACACGATTTTCACAGCAAGCCGACACGTGGGAAAATATTTCATATGTGTTATACTTATGAAAGAAAATTTACCTCTGCCAGTGATGTAGCAGAGACCAGATAATTTTGGGGTTGGTAAAACTGAGGGATAAACCATCAGGTGTGCATTTAGGGGCTAATCTTCAGGTGATCCAGAATGGCTAAAATTGTGTGAATCGTCTTGACTACATCACTTAAGTCTCCACAATATTACAGATCTGCAACTACCAATATGTAATGTTGTGAATCTCATCCACATTATTAACTTGCTTTAAATTACTATGATGCAACACATCCACTACTCTAAACAAGAGAAAAGGATACCTTTTAGAACAGTTTCCTTTACATGAAGGAATGTTTCTCTCTCAGGGATTGTACAAATTCTGCCCAGTCATAGCAACTGTACTGTACAGTCTCCTAAAGTTGAGAAGTAGAGAACAATCATTGCAGTGTAACTCCCATTAAAGTTGCTAATTTGCTGGATATATATTTGTTCTGACTAACTTGGTATTAGATTCCTTAAGTGCTTGTAATCTTCTCGTCTCAGGTCTGGCCTTGATCCCTCCAAGTTGACCATTTCTCTCAATTCCTTGATGGTGAAGGCAACATGTTCTGGACCCCTGCGACCAACCAATGTCATATGTCTCACTCGGCTGCCATTTAATCTCTCCAGTATGTTCTCTGGGATGTCTGTTTTCTGTGTATTACAAAAATTATGAATCGGTTACCCAAGAAACTACGCTTCTGTCTTCCTCTCTAATGAGAGGTAAACTTTACATAACAAATAAAATTTCCAGTGGTTGATAGTCACATAAATATAGGAACATTATTATATTTGCCATTTTGCAAGAGTAATAAATTATTTAAACTTTTCTTTTTATTATAAATAATTTTATAATAACAATTTTAATTTCATATCTAAAACATGGTGAAAGTACAGGTATACAGTACATGTACACTCGCAACAAAAAATATCGGTGCAGAGTGAGATCGACGACTTCCGAAACGATACGTATACAGTTAACCCTCACTTTACGCGGTTAATGTAACCCGGAGGGTCCCGCGTAAAGTGAGAAACGCGTAAAGTGAATAACATAACATATGGGATTAATTGAAATGGAGTCCGGGCCGATCCCCAAACTCCACTTTTTGACGACACACAACTATGTTGTAGTAAAAATATTATCTTAACTTTATGATGGTATGCACACACAATTAATAATTAAGAGAAATATCAATAATATTAGGTTTTTTAACACTTACATTAGTAGAAAAAATGGCTGGGCACACGGGGATGGGCGGTTGGTTCCGAGGCAGAGGGCAGATTATTGGCCCTCACCTGTGTCACTTGTATCAATTGTATCACTATCCACCACAGAGGCTTGCAGGGCCTCTTTGTCAAACTCCCCAAAGTCCATATAAGTCCATATCCTCACCATAATTATCACTATCACTGACTTGGGCTGGCTGTGGTGGGTGGCGGGTGAAGAACTGGTAATGTTTTGATGACTGGGCGACCTTGTGCGCACCATGTTCGCGCAGCTTACACAACATGGCGGATGGCGGGAGGTTTGGATCCAAAAATGGCGCGGCTCGCCAGCCGCTCTCCGCGTAAAGGGGTACACGCACCGCGGAATGTGAGCATCCTGGGTTCCGGCAGGGCACCGCGTAAACTTGGAAACGCGGAATGCGGGACCGCGTAAAGTGAGGGTTAACTGTACACTGCGATATGTCGGGAAGGTTGGTAAGTGTACCCTCATAACCCCCCCCCCCCCACTAGGTGTTGCCATATGGCTGACAATCAGTGTGTTTGTTTCCTCTTTTTGGATTGTTGCTTTGTGTTGACTGAATAATGAGCGAGAGTTCGGTCTCAGTGAACGTGGGTATAAAACAGAGGCAATATGAAGCAGTAGAGATCTACACATGCCAGACGACATGAAAACCTCAGAGAGAACACGAGGAGCTATTATTGCCCTTCATAACGAAGGGTTCAGCGTCACAGATATTAGCCGGCGGGTTGGTGTCCACAGGAACACCGCCGCACGATGGATTCGGCGATACCTCGAAACTGGTGCTACAGACGACAGGTCTCGAAGCGGCCGTCCACACTGCACCACCTCTCAGGACGACCAGGTTGAGTGGTTTATTTGTAGCAAAAATTAAAGTGGCAATATTCACAAGTATCACAAATAATTTTGTTAACAGGGAGCTCCTCATATTTCATAATGTCTATTTATCACTTCCCGACCTTATTTATAACGGGTTGTTTCACTCGACCAGGCCATAGTGGCTGCTCAGCAGGATTACAGGGCTGCCAACACACGGCTGGAACAACTCGCCTTTCCCAATACCTATCGTCACTGGTCTCAAATTGTTCACACTACAGTATGCACCGATACTTTTTGTTGCGAGTGTACCTTGATCTATGAAAATTATTTGAAATTTCAGTTTTATGACAGTAATTAATTAACACCTTTATTTGTAGTTATGATTTTCTTTTTCATTTTATGATACTTTTTACATTATACAGTACTACTAATTTTTTTTTTTTGGCTGGAAATAAGTATTTTAATTATCCATTAATTCTAAATTAAGTAAATGTTATAAATATTCAAAAAGTTTAATTGGCTACAGCATGTCATAACAAAATTCTTTACAAGCCATTCTTCAACAAAACTATTCAGCAATTTCTTACATTTTCTTCAGCAATTTCTTACATTTTCAAAGTGATTTACCCTCTATAGAGATATCAGGAAAACAACCAGCACATAAAATGAGGAGCAGTAATATTCTGTGATAAACCCAACAAAGCTGCAAAAATTTGTTAAGTTGGAAGTGATAAAGCATATTGAGGCTGGTGAAAAGACGGTGACCATCGATAAAGTTTTAGGTCTATCTCGGAAAGATAAAATCAAGGCAAGTAAGAAGTGTGTGACAAATATAGGTGCAACTATCATAGATTAGATTTGATGGAGAACATGGAACAAGTTTACCTACCTACCTACCTAATTTACTCAATGGCCATCCAAACTAGAGGTGGCTTTGACAAGGGAAGAGGGCCAGTGGCCTGTGTAGGATCCCTCCATTGTTCTTGGAAAGTCTTTAACATGGTTATTTTGTAGCCCAGTAATGATCTCGTTTCTAGAGCTAGACCTGGTAGACTGTTCCCATAGGTCTACCACCCTCTGTTTGAATAAGTAAATCCTTTTATTTGTCCTGGATGACATCTTTGCGAGTTTGAAGCCGTGTTCTCTTGGCGCATGACGTCACAAATTGGTTTTTTTTAAATGTCTAAGATTCGTTCCATTGTGTTTTGTCTGAGGAGTTGTCAGTCCCAGGGCCCTCAGTCTACCTGGATAATTGAGATGTAATTTAATCAAATGCCTAAGAAAAATCCCAATAAAACACAACCACTGTTAGACCTTGGTTTACAGTGTTACCATTTTAAGGAAAATGAGTAGGTTTGCCAGGCAAGATTTTTTCTCCATGAATCTACGTAGTGATGTGTTGATTAGACTGTGCTCGGCGAGGTGTTTGATGATGGCATCCTCAAAATTTTCTCAAAGAGCTTGTATGTACAGTACAGTATTAGGAAACTTCTGTTTATGTTAGCTGATCAGTCTATAATTTTCTGTTGGACTCTATCTACCCTTCTTGCAAACTGGGGTGATGACTAATTTCCAGTCCCTAAGCATTTTTATTGATCCAGCGACTTTCTGAATAGGAGTTTTAATGAAGCGTTAAACTAGTTCACCACCGGATCTATCATCTTGGTCTGTGTTCTGTCTAGTCCAGGAGCCGAGTACTGTATGTCGGTAAAAGATCAAAACGAGCATAATATACTGCTCAACACCATGATGATTTATTAAATTTTTGTCTATTCATACTGCATTTTTAACCCATACATACAATTGTGTTTCAGTGTCATTTTACTATATTTTGGAGATCTTTTTCCTGGAATATATCTTATTTATCCATAATGATAATCAGTGTAGGGTTTATATAATTTGGTTTACCATGTAAACTCACTAAAAAAACAGTCTGTATTCTTGGCTCTGAAACTATCTGCAACAATCACTGCGACAGAAGCCATGACCAGATTTTTTGGTCCGGTGTGTCATATTGTATAACCCCATAAAGGTGCAGAATATCTTTTAGTGAGTATACCAGTACAGGGTATAGAGTTTGGAGGAATGTAACCTTATCATAAATTATGATACAGTACACCTGTATATTGTTTTGCACATACAGTACCTGTACTGTACTATAACTTTAATCAACAGAATTTCCAATGCAAATAAATACTGTACAGTTGTTAAGTCAGAAATTTAGTTCTATTTTTTTTTTTACAAAGTAGATTTAAATAATTATTTCAAAAATGTTGTACCTAAAAATATATATGATAATGACGCCATTCAGAATTCTATCCTCAAGTAACAGGCGAATAAATTAACAAATACTGTATACTACAGCAAAACTAAAAGAAAACCCTTCAGCATGCTGTGCAAATTATGTGGAATATTTACTAGTCCTGACAAATTTTTGGATGAAATTTGCTTGCCTGGATTTTTGATGGGAAAAGTTAAATTAACAACTTCAAATATTCAAACTTATTGTGTGCATCAACTCATAGATCACTTGTGTCCATGTAAATGGTGCCAGTGGCAATAGCCCTTGTCATGTGATATCAAAACTCTTGTTACCAGTTTTGGGGGTTTCAGATTGATGAGACATACAGTAGTCCCTTGCCAACCGTTAGGTTAGGTTAGGTTAGGTTCTATGGCTGCGGACAACACTAGTCAAAACCTAACTAAGTTCCCTGTTCCTTCACTAAACAATACCTGTATTGTACATTAAATTAAATTTTAGTCAAACACTGTACAGTACATATAAAACAGCTTAATAGAAATTAAATAGTAATATAATTTTTACAGTACAGTACAGTATATCTGTAGAGACGGAATGTTGCTATAAAATAAGAATAAAGAAAAGCGTGGGTGTGTATGTGTGCATAAGTGAACGTGTATATGGACTTGGTAGGTCGCCAAGTTGGACTGTCCCGTGTTTCTGCTGTTTTTTGTGAATGTGAAGTGAGCAGTAACTTTGAAAATGTCTGGGAAGGCCAAGGCACCCAGAAAAACTGTCTCTGGAGGTGAAGCGGCACAAGACTCTCCAGAGGCTGTGGGAGTCAGAGTGACATCTGGGCTCTACCTTCAAGTGACCCCTTGACCTCGCAGGGGACATGTAATGACAACCAGGCGTGTGCTTAATGATGAGGTTAGTGTTTAATTGTTTTAGGTAGATTAATAAAGAAGGATTTTTTTCCTTTCTTTCTTTCAGCGATACACATGGGTGTACGACTGGCTAGGATTGTATCCCATTGAACACCATGTTATAATGCTCCCGATTTACAATATTTTGGCCTGTGATGGATTTTTCAGGAACCTAACCCCATCGTAAATAGGGGGCGAGTAGCACCAGGCAACCACCTTCTCACATCAGCTGATCACTAGTAAACAGACCATTTTGCGTCCCATTATTTTAGCCGTGTTGATTTATGAGTTTGTTTTAACATAATACTACAAAAAAACAATATTTTGTTTATTCTAGGATATGGGCTGAGGTGCATCTGGGTAGACTCTCAGTATTTTTAGTATTTTGTGTTTCTCTCAAGTACCAAACTAATTTATTCCATTGAAACAACACTTCGATTTAGTGCGAATTCAGTTTAAAGCGACCTCTCTTGGAACGTATATCATGTTATATCGACTTTCTACTGTATCTTTATTTCTAAGCCACATTAGAGTATTTTAATGATTTTTCTACAACTTTTATAGCATTAATGCTCCAGAAATGGTTGTGAAATATGGCACAGTGTGTGTGTGTGTGTGTGTCTATTGCGCTGTATGTGATGTCACAGGAGGCGGCTGGAGTGGTGAGTCAGCAACTCCACACACACTTTCCACACAAACATCCATGCTCTTCACATGTCTTAGTTTATAGTTTTATACTACATTATATTTAATTTCTAACCCACATTAGAGTATTGTAATGATTTTCCACAACTCTTATAGCATTACTGTTGACTTTTAGCAGTTGTGGAACATATCCTTATTTTCCCCTTAAGATTAAGTACAGTATTCACTATATGAGGATTCCATTATGCTGTGTTGTCACAGAACTCAACCATAAAGCAAGAGTCAGGTGGACTGTATTAATTTGGGAATAGAATGGAAACTGTATTAATTTGGGAATAGAATGGAATCTTTTCATGAAACTCCGTTGATTCTACAGTGGCATCCAAAAAGTTAATACAGTGGGGTATGCTATAACGAACGGATTCTACTACGAATATTCCTATAACGAACGGTTTTACCTATAAAATTGAGAATGCTATAACGAACGCAACTCCTACAACGAACGCGGATGAATACAGGACTATTTCGTCTGGCGCATGAATATTGTTGTACCGCGGCTCACATAAAGAGCGTCAGGCGCCATATTGGTTCATTGTGTAGTCAGTGCACCACTGAACTTGTTGAAATTTCGTCTTTTGATGTGGAAATTCGTGTTATTTTTATAACTATTTTGTTATACAAGTGTACAATTGTAACAATGAATCGTCAAAAGCGAGTGAGAAAGCTAATAACCCTTGAAACTAAGAAAGAAATTATAAATAAACAGACAAAGTGCCTGTAAGACAGTCACCAAAGAGGGCTAGGAAGGATGACTCCTCTCCTTCCACCTCTTCTCCATAATTCTCTCCTCCCCCCTCCTCCTCTGCCTCCTGTCCTGCATACTAACAACACTAAGGTAAGATAAAGTACCGTACTTTTTACAATTTCCACAGAAATTTTTCAGTGTTAAGTGGTTGTATTTGGGGGCCTGGAACGGATTAATCCTATAACGAACTAATGCTATAACGAACGAGGTTCTAGAACCAATTAGACTCGTTATAGCATACCCCACTGTACAATGGTCTGGAAATAACGACTGCATGTTAAACTGAAAATAAGCGAGTGTGTAAAACATATTACCGGTCACTAAATTTTTCAGTTCTTATGATAAAATTATGTGGTTTAACATGAATTCAAAAAAAGAATACTGTATAGTATAAGACTTAAAAAGAAGTATGAAAGCTTTGATTAAAAATTATATTGTATTTTAACATCAGACTAACCTTTAATATATCTACAGGTGTGAGTAAAATTCTTGCTACATCCACAGCAACATTCCCTTGACCAATAATTCCAACCGATTCTACATTCAAGTCAACCTTCAAATCTGCATTTTCAGGTAGACCATTATACCAACCCACAAATTCTCGGGCAGATAATACATTGGGCAAAGACTCTCCTGGGATGTTTAATGCTCGGTCTTGTGCAGCGCCATATGCCTGAAAAGCAAAGAAATGGTAAAATAGATTGCGAGAAATTACATATATTATATAAATGAAACCTTGATTCAGGAATCCCAGGCACCTTGTGAGATTTTGTTCTCTACTTACCTGAAGTCTTGGGATAAGCTTGTTCACACAGAATATTCAGGGTGTGCAGGGACTTTGGCATGGAAGCATTGCTTTGAGATCACAGTTATTTAGGGAGCTTACCCTAGTTTATTTAATCTGACCTGACTACCGACTGCTGCGGTGTTTTTGAAGATTAGTAGGGTCAGTACCTAGTGACCTGATAATTGTGGACTAAACCATAAATTGCAGATCATTAAACATCATTGGGTGTTAAAAATTTTAAATCGCAAAACCAAAATATCACAAAGTAAACGATCGTTAAACAATGGATACCTGTACACCCTTGTATTCCTATTCATAAAATTTAAAGTAAAGACTTTATTCATAAATATTTAAAACTGATATCCTGAAGAACAGGTGAGTATCTTACAGTACATGCATGGTTACCAACCTAAGCAAGTCTCTTAATCACAGAAGCTGTCAAATAAAACGTTGATCATAAAAGAAAATACAGGTTCTGAACTGTATTCAGTAATTTCTCATATTACAGTACAGTACCTAAAAGATAATTCTGCACATTTCATACCTACCAGAACAACAGCATGATAAGCTTCTCTCAACTGGCTGAAAGTAATATCACTTCCAATGTCAACATTGCCCAAAAATGTAAATCTGTCTTTAGCAGCAGTCTGGGTGAAGGTATTAATGCAGTTCTTCACTTCTGGGTGATCTGGTGCAACTCCATAGCGAACCAAGCCAAAAGGAACTGGCAGTTTCTCATACATATCAACTTGTGCTGCTGCATGGCTCTGAAAATATAAAAGACATAGTGAACTAAAAAAATAGTTATAATCTAATTGTGCACACTTGCCAATATTTGCATGTTAAACATAGAGAGATCTTGGTTATTCAACAAGAAACATTTTTCTTTTAAGTTGATGAGTTATGATCGAGTTTGTGACGTGTGGTTGCGAGAGGAATACTCCATATCAGAACACATCTACCATAGCTGTAATAATGAATGAATAATGAGAATGTGTGTGTGTGCACTTTAGATTCTGGTCACCATATTATAGCCAAGAAAGGCTTAAAGGTGACATAAAACAAACTATTGTACAGTATGTGGTTATCATGTAATTAGGAAATATTGTCGTAAAATGCAATACCTGTTCAACACTTCATTACGAACAATGAACATGAGTACTGCAACTTTCTAAGGAGAAATAGTAGTAAAGTATTGTACTATACTGTAATTTATATACAGTACATATAGAACCAAGTTAAAACACTGCTATATGAGAATTATACAGCAAGACAAAATCTACAGTAGGGTATTTGGTAAATTAATAATCACAAAAAGGTTAAAATTTTTACATGAGTAAACCAACCTTTAGTATTTGTTGAGCAGTATAGAAGCCAGCTGGACCACTACCAACAATACACACTTGGGGGACTTGAGCAGTGCTGGCAACACCTGTTCTCAGGTGACGAACTATGAGTCGACTTACACCACAACTTAGCATCATTTTTTACCTAAAATAGGATGATAGTTGTTAAATATCCACATCTTGCAAGAAATCTAAATAAATATTATACATACCAATTTTTTTTATTCCATTACTCAAGTTGTAAGAGTATTAAAACAAATTTATACATGTACACGTAACTGTACTGTGTATACAGTACAGGTGAGTTGCGATAATTACCTAAATAAAAATTCACATTCATTCATACATTCGTGGGTACCTCTATTACTACCCCCTTTTTTTTTCAAATTTCACCGTCAAATACAGGTCCATATGTGTTTCGGAATTCGGAATTCTTCGGTTTTCAGAATGGTAGAACAGCTCCTCCCCGACTTACGACGGGGTTAGGGACCCAAATTCAGGTCCTAAGTCGAAAATGCTTAAATAATACATAGGAAATCTAAAATGGGTGTCTCTTTTTCTTCTCAGCACCAAAAAACTTTCACTTTTAAGCCTGCCAGCCGTTTTAAAGTGAATACAAACGAAAATTTTCTCTGTGTACTGACGTTGGGACTTGAAAATACGTAATTTGACAAAATTTTGGTACAACTGAAGCAGGTCGTAAGTGTGAGTGGTCGTAAGTCGGGGAGGAGCTGCTACATATACCGTATATTATGGTAACACCCTAGCGGGGTCTGTGGCGGCACCCTGTAAGCAAACACATTAATATTTCTTCAACAAACCTTATGAATATTCACACTGAGTGGGATAAATAAAGACTATAAATAGTATTACAGGTTATTTGTACAGTAATAATTTGGTAAATGAAATCATGGGATAAATATAGTCCATAAATACTCTAGTACAGTACAATTATAGGAACATAGCGCCAGTACATAGCTGTTTCATCAGCATTGTAAATTTGTTCAGGACCAAGGTTTTCAACAGATATTATTTTGACAAATTCGTCAATTTAAATTTCAGCTGCTTCATAATCAGCACATTTAACAAAACAATATAATGTAACGAGATTCACCAACCCAAATATTAATGCCCATAGCAAATATAATAATTATAATCACTATATCACTTAAAACCCATATTTTACTTTACTTTTATCCTCTTTGCCACTGATCGGCTCGTTAGCCACTTGGGCGGTCATTCATGTCTCTGATATGCACTGTTGGCAAATACAGGGCAGTGACTGGCTCCTGAATACACCGGAACCTGCTCCAGTGTTGGTCAAGTCTGGCCTTGAATGAGCTCACACTCGGTGCCGTCACAACGGTCTCTGGCAAATTGTTCCACGAGTTAACAATTCTCACTCCGAAAAAATTTGCCCTCACAGTTTTCTGGACTTGTGGCTTCTTCAACCTTGAGCTGTGACCCCTTGTGGAGCGTACGTCGGTCAGCTTCAGGTATGTACATTCGATGAGTAATGCCCCCCCCCCCCCGAGATGTTTATACACTTCGATTAAGTCGCTCCTCTCCCATCTGTAGTATAAGCTAGGTAGTTGGAGGCAGTCCAATCTCTCTGGGAAACTGAGGTTCCATAGAGCAGGCACCAGTCTGGTGGCACTCCGTACATTTTCAATCAATTGACAGTCTCTAGCATACTAGAGCTCGAGGACCAGACGGGGTGACAATACTCCAGACGGGGAAGTACCTCACTCTTGAAGATCGTGACGAGTGACGGACCTTACAGATATCTAAATGATCCTTTAAGACCTACTAGTTTCATTGCCCAATTCACCTTCCTCTCACAATGACCCGAGAACTTAAGTTCATTGTACAGTACATATAATAACATACCTAAATCAAATATCAATATTTACTGTTGAACAATAAATTTAAATACCTATATAGGGAAATATCTAAGAACAGCATTACCACGAGAAGTTGTTCGATTTCATTAATTTTTTCCATGTTATCATTTACATAGTATGTATTTTAAGAGGCAACAACTTTTTAGTATAATTAGTAGTATTTTTTCTTACCTGTAGTGGGTAAAGCATGAAGGATGAAGGAAATTGACGAGTTGACAGTTAGAATTTTTTTGTAAGACGGCAGGTTAATGGGTAAAGAAAATGCTTAAATTCACAATGGTAATGATATTTTTAAGTAAATTAGGCCAAAAAGTGTAAAACATTAAGGGTTAAAGTTGCTAAAAAGTCACATGACTGTGAAAAGCTCTGTGATTGGTTGTGACGTCACTGGTTCCCTCGAACTGCAGAGAGGGAGCATAGAGGCAGCCAGCTGTGGTGTAAATCCATTATTATGTGTTGTTTACCAGCAAAATTACAGGACTTGTGTCCATATACAATGTTAATACAGGTTGACAATCCTTTATCCGAAATCCTTGGGGCCAGAGGCATTTCGGTTTTCGGAATTTTTCGGTTTTCGGAATTTTTCGGTTTTCAGAATGGTTAGGTTTTTTTTTTTATGTGTATTAGCCCACCCGGGCATAGATCACTGACCCACATTGGGGCCTGGGGGTCTAAAATATAATAAAAATTATAATAATAATAATAATAATAATTCATAGGTCTAGGTCGTGTTTCTCACTTTTGATCTTTTTTTCATTCTTGTATTTCTTTACTGTATTATTATTTTATTATTACAGTATTATTGTTGTTATTATTATTATTATTAATATTATTATTATATTTTATTTTTACTATTATTGTTATTATTATTATTATTATTATTATTAAAATTTTTACTATGAATAATTATTATTACTATTACATTTTTGCCCCCAGGCATACCTTATTTTTAGGCTAAAAATAAATTACTGCTCAAGTATCCTCGTGTGTTTTACTTGCTAGGTGCTAAAATGATGCAAGGCCGATAACTCCAACAGGAAGATTTCTCTAAGTTTTTATCATTGATGTCTATATTTAATGTTGTGGAAGGACTACTAGGATGACCATGGCCAGGGATGGGCTTGAGATGATCAGATGACAGAAGTAATTTAACGTGCTTCATAGTGGATGGCGGAGTTCTTGATAATACTCTACAATCATAAAGACATCAACTTTTGGTAAATTTCTTTCATCTGCCTTGATGAACCCTGGAAATAGTTGTCAACTTTCTCAGGCTGATCAGCTCTAAATGAATATTATTGGATAATTAATTGTGCTTTACTGTAGAACACAGTAATGCTATATTATATAAATATTACTAAGTACATTAACTAATTCATAGATATTAGCTGCCCCTCCTAAATTTCATAGTAAACATCCTAAACAGTATTGGTTTGGTCATCTGAGACTAGATTCTAACTATGGATTAAGCACTTTAAACAATAAGACAAATTATCTCTATCGGATTTATTCGCAAAACATTTTCTATCGCATAAGAAAATACAGATCATAGGTTAGGTTAGGTTAGGTATGATGTTATATTATAAGTTATAAGATTAGCTAACCATAAGTCTTCATGTCTAAGTACAGGATGACCAAAACTTAAATTTACCCAACATAGCCTGTCTCGAATCCAAACATCAAAATACTTTATGGCAGTTACAGTAAAACTTTACCCATTAATTAATATAAATGTTGATATATCCTAGTGGTTCATTAGTGAATCATCAAAACAACAAGAGCACTATGTTTTCATGTTTACCAGCATCAGGAATTCTCAAACAAAAGTCAAGACAATGTCATTACTTCAATTGACTCATATCTCATCCGTGCATCATCAGCGTAGGTGGTGACATCATTGCAAATGGTGACCCTGTTTCAAGAGAAATAAACTTATCTCGACTATTATAGCAGGACTTTAAACTTTTATTCAAGTTATATATACCGTATCACTACGAACAATAGCCGAGTGTATTTTATGTTTATTCAGAACCGTCAACTGTCAATTACTGAATAAACAGTGAAAAACTTATCATATGTCACTAAAATGGAGTCTGCTGCGTGCTTTGTATGTGAAGAATTAATTATTTACCGCAAATACTCCTCCGAAAAATTTGTATGGTCGTGTCATTTTTAATTTTGAATACCAGATATGGCTGAACAAGTTGAAGAGCTGTGCCGACATTGTGAAGATTATTTTATGTCAATTGCAGTTTCAACAGAAAAATTGTGAGGCTATTTTTTGTAGAAAATGCAGTGTATTACCGAACAACATTCTTTTCCAAGATGTGGGGGCATTAACAAAGGGGGTCCAGGGGGATGTTAGGTAGGTTAAGGTTAGTTGGGTTGGTGGTATTTTATGTATGTGAGTTACTGAAGAAAAAAAAGGTTAATATATTATAGGACAAACCTCCAGATGATATATCATCTCAAGTCCAGAAATTTCACCATATTATAATAAGTGCTTTCTGTTTAATATACCGGAAGTTAGGTAAGGTTAGGTAGGTAGGTTTGTTTGGTTTGGTTGGTTAGGTCTGTTCTTCAAACGTACAAATGTTAAATAACGTTTATTTAAAATATTTATATTTCCACAAACTACAAGTCACTGTAATATAAATAAAAAATCCAGCGTTTTTATAATTGTTTTTATTCAATTTCGCTCGCGGTTAGTCCTATATAATTACCCCAAAAAATTAAATTTTCCTGCTGGGATGTTGGGAGAAGGGGCTGTATCTAGAAAATTAACGAGTGATTTCCGGGAAATGAACATCAAATTCTTTCGAAACTCAACCAATTACCACAGTGAACATATTTCTAATATAAATAAAGACCGGTGCCAGATTTAAACAAATCATGGCGACACTTGAGACTTGGGAAATCTAATAATATTGAAAACTAAGATATCAGTTATCCTTAATTTCCGGCGGAAATATCATATTAAGAAAATGTCTTAGAATTGTCTAAACATTACGAAATGCATATTAAAAACTGCGAGAGAAAGACCGATGTATTACTATAAATTGACCGATTCTCTGGATGACCGAAACTAATACCTAAAAAATGTCAACCACGGAACCCTATAATGATTTATATAATTATTTATATAATTCGGAGACCATACACTGTGACTTTACAGTATAGACTTACCTTTATAACACTGCACAGGTTTTTCATCAAGTGTTATCTCCCGTACTCCAGTTGGCGGTGCTACTCTTGTTAGTAAACAAACGAGTCATTTTTCCATTTTAAGCACTAACTGGCAACTTTGTACTGATTGTCTTAATACTTTCTCAATGTTGATAAAGACCTTAGTGTAACTTGTTGATTTTAGTAATCAAAACATTCAATCAAATATACCTTAAATTATACCACATTTTATGTATGCTGTTCACACTAACGTTGGCTAGGTAGTGTGGCGGTAAATATAAACACGGAGATCTAATGCCATCCACACATATACGTAAATTTTGGTGACTTTACGTCTCTGTAGCAGTGGAGGTTTTCAAAGTGTAATTGGAAACTACAGGATTGACCTAAGCCAGTATAAGTAGGGAAATTACCCAGGTGATGCATGTTTTGTATCGGGGAGTTCCCATTACTAATTTATTTGGGTTGCGTCCGATTACATTCCATTTGGATGATCGTATTTTTATGCCATTTTATTTGCGAAACCCAACCTGACCATGTAACAAAAAATGGTAATTTTGAAAACAGTACTACTACCGAAGTTGTTTGATTTCATTTTTCCATAGATGTTCTATCATTATAGTAAGTATTTTAAAAGAGGCAACAACTTTTATTTTAATTATATGTATTTTTTTCTGCACGATCATAAATTACCTGTAGTGAGCAGGGTATGACGAGGAAATGGGATAAAACAAGGCGAAGAACTGATCATATGAAACTAAATTGATGTCTACGTGCTTTGTACGTGAATATATTAATATCGTAAATACCCAAAAAAAAAAAAAGTCGGTGTACTGTTTGTTTACAATTGACTCGTTTGATCCGAATGTACTGTAGGGTATCGAGATATTAATGTTGTCTAGCACTCAGGATGGAAGGAAACTCTAATGTGGTTTTCTTTGTATAATATATAAGTTATAATGATAGACAGTCTGGTGCTGAGATGCTGTCTGGTGAGGAGCTGCTCAGTAGAAGACGTTCGGTGAGTAGCGTGTGAAGGAGGTAGATGTTGGACAGCTAGGGAGCTTGCTGGAGGA